CTAAACCATAAACCCTAAACAGTCTTCCCCTCTGGTCCGAGGTGGCGCCGACGAGATTGGCCGGCTGTTCGGCAGCGCCGGGATTTCTCCGGTCGCCTTCGGCAACTCCTCCTCGAGTTTCAGTGGCCTGTCTCTGGGGGCTTCGGGGCGTTTACAAGTCATATAGATAACCTTAAAATTTGTTTCCGTAAAATGGTGGGGCTCAAGCCTCTATGGCATACGTTTTTGCATTGCTCAGTGACTTCTTCAATCACACCTGTGAGGGTGCGAAAAATTAGTCCAAACGCGTAGCCCTAGGCCGGCATGTAATAGAGCCAATGTTGTGCTGCGAGAATTTGCTGGAGCCCCAGCCCCCCCCCCCCCCATTTCATAGAAGAGTACATGCTGCGGGATTTGACAGGTTTCCCCTGTTGTGACACCCACAGAACTGCTTGCTTCCAGGATGCCGCCTTCAAAGCACCAGCATATGAGAGCTCTAAGCTGCTTGTTAGCCTGGTGCTGGCTTCAAATTTCACAGCATATAAGAGCTTCAAATAGCCCAAGCGGTGGTCACAAACATGGACAAACCAAGACAACGTCATTACTATTCCAAGATGCTGCTACGCTAACACAGCCCTTGCATGTTCTTGCATGTGTTGGCATGTTCTAGCATGTTGTTGTGTGTGTTTGATGTGTTCTGCGAAGAAACACATGTTAGCCGAAGGGCGTCCTAAGCATTTCATATAGAAACCTTAAGAAATGGTGGGGCTATTGCTAGCATACCCCTGAGCCCACCATTTCAATGAGCCTTCTCTATGACATGGGGGGGGGGCACCTTCATAAAAGGATATTTCCGGACTCTAGTCATCGTGAGTCCCCAAACCCTAGAGGCAGCCTCCGCTTATGTTGACGTTGCCTGTTGCGAGCTTGTGTGCTCACCTTGGGCAACGATCTTCTTAGGAGACGTGCGACTCACCTTGAGGGAGAACTGGCATTTAACTGCGGATTCTTCTGCTTATTTAGGGAATAAGGCCGTCAAACGCAAATCTCTCAACATGACTTGTGAATGACTCATAGGTGCCTCGGCGGAAACGATGCTGCTGAGCCCGCATGGCTCGCTACCTGATCCTACTGTGCAAATCGTGTCCGTCGCCTGTGGCAAAGACGCACAGCTGAATCGCTGAAGTTGCAAATTTTCGTCCATCCATCGAACTTCCCCAAAAGTGAGTGCTAACATGGGACCTGTTGTAGGGAGATGTTAGGTTAGGGTTTAGGCAGATGTCTGATTAGTAGGTATTTGGCTCGTCAGAGACTGGAGTCTGGCATTCAAACTTCTGGGTTTAGTTTGTAGGGTCCCAGCTGAATGAAGACTTTGAGGGTGTGATCATAGGAGTAGAGGGAGATGGTCTGCCGCATGCTTCATCACAGCAGTTTATGTGTAGGCAGCTCCATTGACAGCTACTGCTGATATTGAGCCTTTCCATGGCCTAAACCAACCCTAACCCTCAGCCAATGGCCACACTGACAAGCAGTGGGCCGGAGCCCAAACCACAAACCCGAAAAAGCTGAAGGCCTAACCCTTTGACCCCTAACCCCGCACCCAAAACCCGAAATCTCAACGCACCCCAAAGTACCCTCGTCTTACTGGTTCTTCGTAGGGAAGGAGGGAAAACAATCCGGATATAATCCCCATATTTTAATATCTTCCCTTATTCCCTACTGACCCTAAACCCTAACCCCACACCCTATTTACTATGATTCCTTACTCCCCACTAAGAATCAGCAAGTTAAGCCCAGGGCCATCTACTGCTGCTGGATAGTGTGGGCCGCCCCTGGGCTCTAGGAGATCCCTGCGCCTCGGGTGTCACTCGGCCTAACTTACCGGTACCGAGCAGTGAAGGAGGGAGTATATAAGTATATATATATATATACACACCCACATAGAGTTTAGGGTTTAGGGTAAACACCGAATAACGGAATAGAGTACATAGGAGTGCATAGGGGTTATATGGGGATTAGATTCCCTGTAGGGGCGGGTGCTGGCCAGCGCCCTAAGCAAAGCAACGGGTGCTGAACAGCGCTGTGGACTGGGTGCCGGCCGGCGCTCACAAGCGGTAGGGTGCTAGGGAGTTCACTTAGCGCCTAGGATTAAGCAAAATCTTCAGTAGTAGCCTTAAACTGGGTAGTGAACAGCTTGGAACTCTTACCTTTGAAGCCTTAACCTAAGTTCTCTCAAGCCTAAACCTCAAAGCCTCAACTTTGAACATGGAAGCCCTTGCCAGAAGCCCTACAGTATAGAACTTACGTTTGAAGATACTATAATAAGCATCGAAGCAGTGCCCTGGCTGCCAAACATCACTCACTTTCATTGGTCTACCCCTGGCTGCGAATTATCGCTAGCTACGCCGCTTCGCATTGCGACGATGGCCCCCTCATTCTTTCATGAAATCAGCAGGCCTCCTAGCATCCCAGCCCATAAGAGATCATCCCACAGTATTCGAATTAGAACACGACTGAGAAAGCAGCCTCCAAATTTCGAGATACGTTGCGAGATCCATAAAACCTGCTGAGTAGACCCAGGCAAAATTAAAGTTGACTCTGAAACCCTAAGTTTCAATTTGAGAAATGCCAGCATCGTCAGGTTGCCTGCTCCGATCAGCTCAGCCACGATGTGCGCAGCACAGCGGGAGTTGAGGGTCTAGGGTTGGATTGTTGATGAATGAAAGTGGGCGCCTTGGCGGGTCAAGGTTTTTGCCCGGGGTTTCTTTGCAACCCTGAAGCCTAAACCCCTAAACCCTAAACCCCCAAACCCCTAAACCCTAAACCCTTAACCCCTAAACCCTTAATTAAACCCTAGACCCCTAAACCCTAAAGAGACTGCTGCAGGTAGGGGTCTCAGGTTCTAGGGGCATGATGCCCACAAAAGTTGGCCGTCAGTCTAGGTTTCCGATACGCGCATGGCGCCCTTTCCAATTTCAGAATCTCCGCCTGAGGCAGCTGCAAATGTCTGAACACCTCGGCTACCAACGGTTTTCCTCGCTCAGGGAAAATAGATATACGGGCCGAGGTCTCTGGTTGCATCTCACTATTCCATGACTTGGCTGGCTAGCAATGGGACAGCTGCCAATGTTGAGCATATGTCGGCAAACGAAAGGTTCCAACAAAGGTTGTGAGTTGTGTAACCATGCGCTGTCTGACCGTACTCAACACGCCCGCAGTGATAATTTGAGTTCAGGTGGGTTCCTTTACAGACCTGTCGAAAGAAGAGAAGTCCCAATCTTTATGGATTTTAAGAAACATGCCATTTTGAGAGCCCGTCTATCCCAAACACAAGAATCATTGACATGATTCAAATTAAATCTGAAATTAACGTACCCACTATACCCGTCAAACAGTCCCGAAAAGCACGTCAGACACACATTTTCAGAAGCTGTCCTCCCTCTGTTGGTTAGTACTGTTAATAGTATTACGACTACAACTTTTATTATATTAGTACTAGCACTACTATTAACGTCATGAGCAGTGTCAACATTATTACTGTTGTTACTGCTAGTGGAAGGTGTCGCAATGCTCCGAATTCTTCCGAACGCCCAATACTGTGTCTGGGCCAGCAGGTGTTCATTTTGATTTGAGCTATAGCCTAAACTCTTTAGAGGGGGGTTATATAGGGGATTGTTTGTGTGGAGTATTCCGAGGGCTACGGCTCATTTTGATTTCAAGAAGCCCTACAAGTACCCTGCAAGGAAGCATGCCCTCCCTTCAAGTTGGAAAAGCCTAGCAGAGTAACCATGCTTGTGTCGGTGAAGCGCAATACCCTGAGCATGATCGGGATGATATTCGCAAAGCAAGCGCTATACATCCCAGTATAGCCCAGGTATTAACCCTTACAGAACCCCTTAGCCCCAGCTTGCAGCCCAATGGGAGCATAAGTAGGATAGCCTAGTCATTACCTGTTAGAACCTGTCTTTAGGTATTGCTAGCCTTACTTCTGAAAGCCTAGACCCAAAACCCCCATGACCCTCCAAGCGGCCAACCCACTGGGTCCATTGGCACCCGAATTCTTATCCAAGCTCACCTTGTCCCCGGGTTCTGGATTTAGTCAGTTTCTATCTCCCACGATATGTTATGACTACGCAGTATCCTAGAGTTCTTAAAATTATCGAAGCCACTCACCACGGTTGCGTCACAGCATTTGCCCTACCCAGGATTTCTACACCCTAGATCCTAAGCCTCTAAACCCTAAACTCCTAAACCTCTAAACCCTAAACTCCTAAACCCCAAACCCAGAAACACTAACCCTAAACTCCGAAACCCTAAACCCTAAACCCGAAGCTTTGGGGTCCTCGACCTTGCTAGCATCCCGAAGTCTCATTGAAAGCAGCGTTCAGCTCGACCGCCAACCAGGGTTTAGGGTGTTAGGGGTTTAGGGTTTAGAGGTTTAGGGTTTAGGGGTTTGGGGCGCAAAATGTGCAAACATGTTTTTCTTTAAGGGTTTAGGGTTTAGGGGTTTAGGGTTTAGGGTATGATCCGAAGCTCAAAGATGTTCGGACCATTTGGATTTTTCATGGGTAGCCATGAGTAGGGAGATAAGTAGGATAGGGAGGAATTACAGCTGTAGTTGAAACAAGTTTAGACTGATGAGCGCACTTACCAATACTCATGTTATTGAGAAATCCTATCCAGGTATGCTGCTGTAGGACACTACTTTTTTCTTCCCTAGCCGCAACTCCTCCGACCCCACTGATACCGGCTGCGACTAGGAAGAGTGGCCTCTTCTACCCTAAGCCCTAGACCCTAAACCCTGGTCCCTATCTCATGATTTGGCGTGATTATTCGGGCTCGTTCGCAAGCCTGCCAGGCCGTACAAATCCTGGAGGCCAAGCCCTGAAACCTAAACCTTCCAACTCTAACCCAACCCCCACCCCCCCTTAGGATGGGTTAAGGATTTAGGGTTGGAAAAATCACAAAAACAAAGCAAGTCACGCCTCAAGCCTTCATCCCTGGACCCGAAGCCTCCAACCCTAACCCACAAACCCAGTACTGTAGAAGTCTCGATAATTACCAACATTATTCCTTCAAAACCATTATGAAGCTACAAATCATTAGATAATTTTAAGCCAGTCCCAAATTTCAAGCCTTATGCCAACCCCACATAAGCCCAGTTTCCTTTTCAACTTCCTGTTTCATCTTCCATTGAGATGTACTGTTTGTCCGTTACCCTACAATATCCACTAGCCGAGAAGTAGCTCAGGAGTCCCCAGCAGCTTTGACACGCGCCACGCCAGTTATCGCGCTGTGGTCAGTTCTCCGCTCAAGTTTGGGAAAGCGGGGGAAGGTGATAGAGTTTAAGGTGTAGATGTGGGATGTAGGTTTAGGCTAGGTGGCTCGTTGAATTCAGTGGTTGTAGGATTTGTTGTTCAGGGATTCGGGTCTTCTGGGTGGCAAACTCAGGGCCTTGATTGCAGTTACAATTGCATGATGATGGTTTGCAACAGCATTTAGGGGGTCAAGATTCAAAGTGCTGCTTGTCAGAGGGTCAACGTGCAAGGTGCTACTTGTTACAGAGGGGAGGGAGTAGAAGAGTCAGCAGAAGCCAGAAGAGATTGCGTACCGGGGTTACATAGGGATGTCTATATATATATATATGTCAATATACATAAGGGGTATATAGGGGAATGGAGAAAATGGAAATTACTTAATTGGCCATTTGCATGCCACCTTTGAAGAAGTGGGTCGGCCAGAAAGGTTCTTTGGGAGTGATAAAGTCCGGCTCCCCAAGACAGGTGATGCCTGGTGACGTTGCTCAGGTTCGCATATCTCAGGTGGGATGCCAATCCCTAAGCTCTACCTAGGAATAATCCCCCCGGCCCCCTAACAATGAATGTTCCCTAAAGTATATAGTGTCCCTTAAGTAGATAGATTATGGCTTTGGGTATAGTATACTCAGACCCCCATATACCCCAGATTCTATCTACTTAAAGGGGACTACAGTTTTTACCATGTTGGGACCCTAAGCCCCAAACTTGCTAGGACGTAAGATTGGCAGGAAAGGGGGAAGTTGCAAGTCCGAGAGCCGCGCTATCCCAACCCTAGGCATCCCTAAACCCCTCCAACCCTAAACCTCTGACCCTCTAAACCTAAACCTCTAAACCCCTAAACCCTTAAACCCTAAACCCTAAACCCTAAACCCCATAAGCCCTAAACCCCATGAGCCCTAACCCCTAAACCCCTAAACCCCTGAAGGCCCTGAACCCTTAAACCGGGGCAAGCCGGGTCTTATTGTGTTCAGAAGGTTACTTAAGCATCAAATCATGACCAGAGCTAAGATGCACCCATTTTGCGGTTGGTTTTCTTTGTTTAGGCTTTCGGGTTTTAGGGTTTAGGGGTTTAAGGATTAGGGTATAGAGTATTCTCGTGGATTCTTTGCCGGATTCCTGCACATGCTTGGCTTCAATCTGAAGATGAGCCAATACCTATCAAAGATAGGCATACTAGTAATTATACTAGCAATAATTTTAGCAAGAATTGTAATAATAGTAATACTGGTAATAATAGTAATAGTAATAATCGTACTAGTAATAACTATACTAGTAATTTCTGGCAGATCTGGCAGATCTTCCCGGAAGCTGGCTTGCAAAAGCTGTGCCTATCTGACATCTTCCCTTGTGAATTTCAAGAACCCCTTTATTGGGTTTAGGGCTTAGGATTTTTGACCTTCCCAAACTGAGATCGGGAACATTTGTTTAGGGTCTGGAGCTTGGAGTTCAGAGTGGGCAGCAGCGGTTAAAACTGCAGAGACCGGTCTTGTTGGACAGGTGGGGGTTTCTCAGGACTGTCTTGGTTGACTTCTCTAGAATGTCCAGCTGAAGTGGACATTACCGTTCCCATGTTCACTGCATCCTAACAGTCTTCCCAATCCACCCTGAACCCTGAACCGTAAACACTGAACATTAAAAAATAGTTTCCACTTTAATTTCCACTATCCCTATATAGCCCCAATATAACCTTAACATTACCTCAACTCTAAACTAAGCTGGATGTGTGCTGGAGCCTTTGTTTGCTCGCCGAGGTTCATCTGGTGAAGGCCCTGGGCTGCAGCTTCAGAAAGGTTCAGATTCGCTTGTGTGGCTTATTAAGCGGCTTGCTGGGCTTGGTCTGGTCAGAACGGGTTCTTAACCACCAATACTAACCTACTAACCCCCTAGCTTCCTCCTTCATTAGGCTGAATTAGACCCAGCTATCCCGATTAATTAGATAGCGGAAGAGTGGTTCGCGAACCCATAACATGAGATGTATCATCTCCCACTACACCATCATCATGCCGCTTGGGGGCGGCCCTGGTTTTGAGCTGATCCCCCCAAATCCCATCCCTCAACCATAAAGCCAAAATCCTAGACTGCAGACTCTAATCTCTAAAGCATCAATGTATCCCGCTAAACCCTGAGCTCCCTGCCTTTCTACACAGGTGGCCTGCGGGAACGGCCACAGCGTGGCCGTGGACTGCAGCGGCGATGTCTTCGCCTTCGGCCGAGCTTTGGCGCGACCGGATCTTCAGGAGCTCTTGGGGTTGCGGGTTCGGGGATACAGGGTTTTAGGGTTTGGGAAAAAGGTACCCATTGAGGTAATATTAGGGTTATATTGGGGTTATATGGGGATAATATTAATTATAATGAACAGAATCACTATTCATAATTATTATTCATAAGGTTTTTAGGTTTAAGGCCTGTGATCATGTTGGAGCTTGACTAGCGTGCCCTTGCAAACAAAAGGGGGAGCGTCCGTAATAACAAGTCCTCAAAACGAATCGGAGGTCTGGGGGATCCTATGGCCCCTGTAAAAGCTAATGAAGGAAGAGGGATCCTCCACTTCCTATTCAAAATAAGACAAGGATTTAGGTTTTAGGGCTTAGGGTTTAGGGAAAGGATCAGAGAGATTGTGGGGTTTTGGGTTTGGGGTTATGAAATTTATTTCAGAAGGGCTGGGCTCTCAGACTTCGGTTGAATCTCCATGGGTTGTCCCTTCAAATTAAGGTTTAGGTTTAGGGTTTAGAGCTTCATCAGGGGTTGGGACTCAGATAGATAAGGGTTTCGGGCTTGCCCAGGCACAGTCTCAGACAGCCACAGATCCAGCAACCTCTAGATACAAGTACCTATCAAAGGGCTTTTGACACTTGTTCCCTTGAGATCCACAAGTAAGAATTCGGCAAAAGAATACTTTATGGGCAACCCCAAAATCAAATAAGAGGGTCCGGAACAACTTTCTGAGCGCTTTACTTTGTGCCACACCCCCGAATCAGGATTCAACATTAGAGTGTGTAGGATTGGGGGGTTATTTGGTTAACGCAGAAACAAACGGAGAAGAAACTGGGAATTGATATGGAAGCTGGGAATATGTCAGAGTTTCTAAGGAAACCGGGAGCGAGGGTTCATGTTGGGTTAAGGGATGGTTTAGGAGGGTTCAGGCTTCTCCGATTGAGGTTTTAGGATGATCAAGGGCTCAGGATGAGTACTCGTAGGGTTAGGCCCCTTCCAGTTCAGTTATAGAATCAGAATAGATTCTCCTTGCACAAGCTGACGCACATTCCAGGGTCCAGGATCTCAGGAGTGAGGGTTTAAGATGTAGGATTTTTCGGATCTAGGGTGTAGGGTCTTGGATTGGGCATTTAAGGCGTTGTCAGTGTAACCGATAGTTTCGCCACTAGAAAGTGGTCATCTGTTGTTAGCTGCTGTACATGCGCTAAACCTGCATCCCTTTGTTCCTTTCTTCGCTTTCATGTATGCAGGGGACCAGGAGGGATGGGGAAGGGGTCCTGGTCAACGAAGACCCCCTTCCCCAAGCCCGTGAAAACGTACCTGCACTGGTCTGCAGCTGGACCCTGAGGGGTAGCTGGTGGGACCATCATTCCGTTCACTTTCACCTCATGTTCGTGCTAGTCCATTCCTCTGGTCTGGTGTAGCGGGGCAGGACCCTTACCCCAGCTCATCTTGGAACCTCATGTTCACCACGTTTTACAGGTGTGCCATTCTTAATGTCTGGCATACTTCTGGAACCAAAAATGTCATTCACCATGATTTGTGTTCATCACTCATCATCAGCATCATCCTTTCCATCATCTTGCTCATGAACATGAGTAGAGATCATGCACCTAATTCGGCCCGAAGAACATCAAGCTTGGTCTCGCTTGCACCAAACAGACTAATATCTTCCCAGTTGTGGTACTTGCTCATGTATTCCTTAAACACGTGTGTATTGGAAGGGAGTAGGGGGACCAAGATTTCTCATCCTTACTTGGTACCAAGTGAGAATGTGAAATCACAGGTAGATTCACAAGGTCCAAAGAACCCCCTGATAATGATCACGAATCGCTGCCAGGAAGAAGACAACACCACCCCACTGCCCGGCCCTCTCATCTTTATTCCAGCAGCAGGAAAGCATGATCGACAGTTTGACGCTCTATGCATGTGCTTTGAGGCTAGTGAATAGGAAAGTTTCCGCACTCCCACTTTGTAGCAAGCCGGGGTACAGAGACATAGCTAAACAGATTTGGGCTGCAAACACTAAACATGTGCAACTAAACATGTGCAAAAGCAAGCATGCTTTAACACTCCCTTTTCACATTGCCAGCCAGCAAAGAAAGCACCTAGAGTTTAGAAGAGTTTTGCGCTTGTAGCAGGCATGCAAGCAACAAGACAATGGCAGAGAATTGCATGGTTCTGCTGTTGTTGAACCACTTGAAGGAGTTTAGAGTATGGCTCATATAGGGAGAGACATTACCATTCTTGCTACTGGTGTATAGGCATCAGCGATTTGTGGTTGCACTCTTCGTGCTTTGGTGCTGCGCAAGGCTACTGGAGATGGGCATCTTAACGCACATGGAGTGGGTCTCACATCTTGAGATTCCAGAGGCCTGGAAATTCAAATTCCAACCTGAGCTTGTTCATACTACTCAGGCCGGACTGCTGTGATGTTGTGCATGTTGCAGATCTGTTTTACCATCGCTCTAGTAATTGTCGTGTTGGTTCTTGGCTTTTGTCGCTTCTGTTCCCCATGACGAAAGAGCATATGGCTGATTGCCTGAGAATTGCCGGAAGGATGGTCGACCGGAACATCCTCACCAAGGAGTTTTTCGAGCAGCTGTTCACAGCATTGATGCTCGGCTTTCGTTCATGTTGGCATTCTGTGCTTCGAACTGATTGCCCTACTTTCAGAAGAGTTCTTGTGTAGAAAGTTCACACCCATGCATCGAGGAGGTTGTTCCTATGTGCTAAGCCTGCCTTTGTCTTTATTTATGACAAGCAGAAGGCACTGGGAGCAC